AACAAGTTGCATACACAATTAGCACAAGGATACAGTAGCACACGCACACAATTATACACCATGCAGGAGCACACACACATACATTGAGATACACACACACGCACACACACACTCTGACAAGGGAAAATCCCTTTGGGCCGTGGAAGCGTCTGTTTAACTTTCAAGTGGCGTTCTACGATACTCATAAAATTTCCTCCAGGTAATTTTCTGTCATGTTTCGGCTGCAAGTGTGTTTGTGTGTGTGTGCATTGTTCCACTGGACTTTCCACTCACACACAAGGACTTCACACACACACACTGGCTTCCTTTGACTCCTGACAATCCTGCCGCCCCTTTGGCCTTAGCCAACTTCAATCACATTGCACTTTTGGCCACTTAAAGCTCGCCTTGTTGCTGCTGCCAAGATACACTAACTTAAGGGAAGGGTATAAAGGGTGTAAGGATAAGGATGTGCTGCTAAAAAATTTAACAATTGGTAGGATATTTATACTCTTAAATAGCTAGGTAAATTTTTAAATTTATATTATTATTTATTATGAAGGAAAGTATTTAATTATGTTTTCTTTTAAATTATTTCTTGCATAAGTTTTTGCTTAATTTATTGTTCTAAAATGTCTTGTTTTAAAGGGTATTTAAAATTCCCCCTTTAAATGAAACCCCTTGTCCACTTTCGTGTTGTTGGCTGTTTGCTGGCTGTTATTTGTTGTTGATTTTACTGCATTTAATGAACGCTGTCCGCCGCTTTCGCCTGCAAGTATGCAGCTCGAATTTTGTCAAACGCATTAAAACATTATTAAGAGCCACCTCGCCACTCGCTCCTGTGTGTGTGTATGTGTGTGTGTGTGTGTTTGTATGTGAGTGTTTGTGTATGAGTGTTTGTGCCTTAAATATTTAATTATATTTAGCTGCCTAAAGTACTTACAGTTTTGCGCTCTTAGTGACATCCGTGCGGACAACATGGCGTATGATTAACATGTGTGTTAGCCGACGGGCATAAAATCTCTGGCTGCTAATCGCTTACGCAAGAATACGCTCCATAATGGCCAAAAGACAAATTGGCAAGCGGCGAGCAGCGAGCCCGAAAAACCCAGAGATCCGACAGATACAGATGTATCTTCACCCCTCGACTTGCGATTTGCTCTTTTCTTTGCCATATTTTTTCCATAAATAATTTCCATAAAAACTTGTTAAAGTTCAAGACAAGTAAATAAATAAATGGAGTGGGGAAGACAGAGAAAGAGGATGGGGAAGAGAGGGAGAGGGAGAGCACCGGCAATATCCATATGTTCAGGGAGGATATGGCAGGGGATCGGCGGGATTGGGCAGAAAGATATGTCCGTGCATTCGACTTTATGCCCCGGAGCACAAAGTAAACACTTTTTGGTGTCTTCCTCTCACTGCCTCGAAATTCTCTGGTCTGTGCCTGCATCCTGGTTATTTAAATACCCCACATTTCGGGGGCAGGGTGTATGGATATATTTGAGGTTTCTTTAATCTAGATTCCCCTAAGAAACCAACTTGAAAGTGGCTATTTTCAGACGTGTGTATTGTATTTCAGGCAGAGCTTTTTAAAAAGTTTGTCTTTATAAATTTACAAGTATTTTGATCCTGAAATAAAGTTAAATATCCTATTGATAAGAAACATATATTTTATGTATTATATTCTGAAGATCAACATAATATTGCTAGGTTTATTATATATACATATTGTATAATTCTTTCATTTTTTTTTTCTAATTTTCAGCTATTAATTAATCACTTGATAGACCCCAGATTTTCCTTCAAATTCCAACTTTTCCTTTATGTTGATTCGATTTTATTCCCGCTCCGATATTTAGCTTGTTCGGGTTTTCTGTGCTTTTCGATGCCGTAGTTTTTCGCTGGTCTCCGTTTTGTTTGGCAACTTTTCGTGGCCATAAACACGTACGCGTTGCCATCGCAGTTTCAGCTTTTCCACACACACACTCGCAAATATAGAAAAAAATAACACACACACATGGGAAGATCGTTTGTTGTTGTTGTTGGGAAAACTCAATTTAGCTTTTTGCAACCTTTACAGAAAAAATAAGAAAAAAAAAAGAATAGCGAGTAGCTGCAGAAGAAAAGGGAAAAATCCGGGAGAAAAGTGGAAGATGCAGGCGAACAAAAAAATGAATTCCTTTTCTTTCTACTATTTTTTTGTGCCGCCATCTCGCTCTTATTCGTTTTATCTCGCTTGCTCGCTCACTCCACTTTATTCATGTCAAACGAGAAAAATCCACTCACACACACACACACACACGTACACACACTCAGAATAACAACAACAATAGAGCTCCCCTGTCAACGTTTTCGCCCCCCATTTTTCCCCCGCCCCTGAAGTAAAATAAGAAGGAAAAAAATGTTGAGCAAAAATAGAGGGGGAAAAAATAGGAAAACAAGAGCCTCCCAAAAACTGGGAGAAGAATCTTTTGACTAGAAACGGACTGCATGTCCTGCCCCCCCGCCCCCAGCCACACCCCCTTTTTCTATACGCCCTGTGTGTGTGGTACGTGCCTCGCTTGCCGCTTATTAGAAATCAAATCCCATAAAAGCCACACTGAGCCACCAGAGCAAGAGGCGCCGGAAAACCAGTGAGCGGAGGGGGGCTGGCAAAAATTGAGCTGGGAAAACAAAAAAGGGGATGGAGGGAAAAATCGGGGAGAGGGGGAAAAGCACAAAGCACTCGATGGTAACGTTTAAGGGCACAGGAAAACGCAGATCAAATTTTTCAGTCACTTGTCTTTTTCCAAACATTTTATAGAATAAATAATAAATATTTGTAATAGATATTTATAAGTAATAATTCCATTTTTAATGAAACTTTACATATTCTTTTATATATTTCCCTGTTTATTTTATTTGTTTTACTAGGCGTATACGTAATGGATAAAGTAAAAATCTTTGGCTACAAGCGCTGGTCATCAAAAATATATATGTTCTTATTTGAAATTATATCCAGAGTTATCGCAATTGTTTCCACGGTTCGCAGAGTTCTGAATGCTCCAAATTCGCACTGGATCGCAATTTTGGAAGCTGGGGCCGGAGGCCACCAGAAAACAGAAATAGTTAGTCAGCCCGGTTATCTGTGGCTTTGTCATACACAAACTCACATACATACAAACATTCAGAAACGACTCTGTACAGGTGAACGGGATACATACATATATATATATATATATATATATATATATATATTTATATACATAAATATATTCCTCTGACTTTGCGGTTGGTTTAACAATGTTTGCCATTTACCTGAAAGAGAAAAAATGGCAGCAAAGATTTCGATTGCACCACGATGATGAGATGGGAAAACCTTTTGGGGTTTTTCTTATCAATGGAACAGATTTAAATGCGGGAAACTAGAAAACCTGAAGAGGATGTAGGATGCCCGCAAAATAGGAATAATATTTGGAAATTCGGATAACAAGCGTTTAGCTTGCGAGTTAAATTTGATTTTCAGATATTCACATTTAAACGATTCATTCGTTGGTATTCAGATCCAACAGTAAGTTTAAAAACCTAAAGAACAAGGACTTCCTTTCTATGATTTCTGCATAGCACGACTTTCTTTTGGTTTTACGCTTGCAGAACTTGCAATATCTAAAGTTGATTTTTCGATTTCGACTGCTTGCAAATCGGGAATATTATCTTTGGCGTGGCAAGGACATGGACATGGGCGGTGGGCTGAAAAAGTGGGGGCCACAATGCTGACACTGCACACAGTTGCCACTTAAAACCGAAACCGACACACCCCGGGGGGCGTGGCATTCGAATGGGCGGAGGGGGTGGCGGCAATAAAGGAGAAGAAGAAGAGGAGCGACAGTGACGAGGACGAAGGGGACAAAAGCTGACTGACAATCCGCACTGTCCGAGTCCCCTTCCAAAAAAAAGTTCCCCCTCCCCCCAAACTGACCCCCTTGAACCGCCTGCTTTCAGTCGCCCATTCCAACGCCTCTGTGCTACACAAGAAAAGATCAAGGTTTTTTTCTATAATTAAAAATTTAATAACTAAAGTTAAACAATAACCAGTTTATTTTTAAAATTGTATTACAGGGATGTATTTAATTATAATTCATTAAATAATATTAATGATGAGAACTCTTTATTCTTAATAAATTGTATTTTCTTATTTTCATCTTATTTTTAATCTGAACTCTAGGATTGGTTTTAGTTTTTTCTCAGTGCACCACCCCTTTTTTCTGGCCATTTGTCCACCGGCCTTCGTTTGTGTCTGTGAATCGCACAAATCCCCAAGTGCCCTCAGAAGCGAATGGGGATGCCAAAGGGGGGCCTTCGGGGGTGGAGGGGGGCTGAGTGGTCAAGGGGCGGAGGTTGAGGGGGGTTCGAGGCTAGAGGCGGGGCTCCAGGGGGGCTTCTCTGTGCGACAGACGACAGTTGCCATTGCCTTTGGTCTGCTTGATATTTTGTCATTTGTGTCACGTTCGCCATTCATGATGATTTCGTTCTCGTTCTCGTTTTCGTTTTGTTGGTATCCTTCTCCCTCTGTGTCTGTGTGTGTGTGTGGGTTCCCCCGACCCCCCGAAATCCCCTCTTTTGGCCACCAGCCGACTGGCCATTCATTCAAGTTCCCCCCTTTTCTGTGGCATTTTGTGCGCCATTTTGCCGTTTTTATTTATGGAATGCAGCTACTCGGTGACGTTGTTGTTGGCTTCACCCCCTCTTCCCCCTCTTACTCCTTCTCCTAAGGCCCCCCTGCCACGCCCCTGTCGCCGCCCCCCGCTTGGGGATCCTCTCCGCCGACTGTCCCTGTGGTACGTGTGTTATCCTTTTGCGTTCATCCATTTCGAGCATTCCGCCTGCCACAATAATTCCCACGTACACTACGCTTTTGCACTGAGAGAAAATTTTTATGTGGTAACCAATAAACGAAGAGAAGTTTGATACGTTTAATTAAAAAAAATGCTTGCAATATATTTACAATATGTTCGAAGTTTTTATCAGAGTCAAGTGTTTAATTCAAATCCATTCACATATATTTAGTAATACATTTATAATATTATCTTGTATGAAAGACATTTCTTGATAAATACATGATTTCATAATGGCATAAATAATATTTTTTAAAGCTTTAAATTTAATTTAATTTTTTGACAGTGCAGCTTCCAACTTCAATTTCCCAGTGCCAGCCGAAACTTTAGGCTCTCTTTGCCTCTCGCTCTATAAATGTATCCACTTTCAGCATTTTTCTCCGCCATCCTGTTCCCCACTTTCCCCCGATTTGCCCACCACTTTTCTCTATCCACCTTTCTCCTTATTTTTTGTGTCAGTGCAGAGCATAAATTTTCAGCATTTTTCTTGTTGCCGCCTGTTTGGCAAAGAGAAAAGTAGGGACCAATCCCCAAAATCGGAGGAAGGGGAAAGGCACAGGGATAAGCGCAGATAACGTCCGGCGATTTTCTATATCATGAACAAGAGCGGTTCAAAAAGTTGCCAAAAATGTCATAGAGAAAACTTACTTTGAAGCTGAGCGAAAAAAGTAAACAGATTTTAAAGGAGTCTCAGCGATTTAAGCACATTGAACATTAAGTATTGAATAATCCTTTAATAATACATTGAGCAGGTATTTCTTATGATTTTTAAAGTTTAAGTAAGATTTAAAACACACCACAGTTACTTTTGTATTTCCACAAAAATATTGTTTTCATTTCCTTTTCAACTTTTTGAGCAACCTCCTTTGTGAGTGCCATTGCATAGTTTGCTTTTCTATTTTTTTATTATTTTTTTTTTTGTGATACTTGTGGTTGCGTCCCTCAGTCGTTTACTTTTCGTCTTTTTTTTTTTCTTTTTCGGTTTCAGGTTTTGTGATAGTTAAGCCCAATTTTTTTTCCTGTTCTTGAGGGGAAAACCCCAATTTCCCCAATGCTTCGAGAACGTTGTCAAGTCTGCAAGGGATTTGCATTTTATTTGCACAACCGAAATTTATGAAACAACAGAGAGAGGTGGTTTTACTTTACGAAAGGAACTTTAAAATACCCTTTAACGGGTTTTTTTTTGTAACTAAAACAATGTTTAACTATATATGGAGAAAATCTTGAAATATATATAATTTTTTCAAAGTATATATTTACAAATACTCACTTAGTTTCAAGCTTAATTTATTATTCTGCTAACAATTTAATGAATTTGAAGCTACTTTAAATTTGCCAATTAGCGTGAGCGACACCCCCTTTTTTTTGCAATTTTAAAGACCATTAAAGTGCTTTTTCCCCCCAAAATCAATTAGACTCGTCAAGAGCTTAAAAACCTCGCAAAATGCTGAAAAATTCACTGAAATGAGGGGAGCTGTGCAGGACATGTATTTGACAAAATATTTCAGTTATTTACATTCGGTTTTAGTTTCTTTGGTCCGTTTCACGTTTTTTGGACACCTACCGGACGTCAACTTTTAGGCTAACAAGCAGACAAAACCAGAAAACATAAATCTTGGCCACATTTATGTGGCTGCAACACCTTCCAACCTTCCACAATGCCAAGCCCATTTTTTGCCCCCCCGAAAATCCGAGAGGAACTTTTTCCGGTCCTGGCTCCCCAGCGATGGCCGGCAAAAACCCAATGAAACTTTATGCATATTAAACTTTTTACATTATTTTTTGTGGCCATCGCCGAAAGTTGGAACAACCGAGAAACAACAGCAGCAACAACAAAAAAAAAAGGAAGAAAATCCTCAACACCCAAAAAAAAAAAAAAACAGGAGAAAAATAAAATAAAATAAGAGGTGGAAATAAAAAGAAATTATGTGAAATGGAGGGCGCTAAGCCACGAAATATTTTTTACTTTATTGTTTATTTTTGTTGGCCGAAAGGTGAGAAGCTTAAAAGAGGGAGAAATTTTTAACCGAACAGAAGTTTGCCGCAAAATAGATGCAAAATTATGAAAATAGTTGCTAAACTTTTGAACTAAGTTGAAATTCCTTTTATTAAACTGGTAAATTATTTTATTAACTTTAGGCTTAATAAGATATAGAAGCTCAAAAAGGCAGTAGTATTTTAGAAGCTCATGTTTTGCTTAAAATTGTTTTTCGATTTATTAAATTAATATTGCCTCGATGTTTTTATCCTTTTATTATTACTAATTTTAGTTATTTTTCCTTTTAAGGTTGAAAGTGATTAGCTATCTTCTAGTTTAACTAAAAGTAAAACAATAAATTTAAGCAAGATCAGATTGAGTCAACCTGAAATATGTTGAACATGTCCGTCAGAAAACCCAGTTGCAAATTATTCACAACAATTTATATTTCCGAATCAAATTTTGTGCAGTCAGCCGTAGAAGTCCGCAAAAATTCCTAGACTCAAGACGAGTCACAAATCACACACAGATACAAGGGCACGCACACTTGTGTGCACAGTTTAAATTAACAAAGCAGCCAGCAGATGCAAAGATACAAAGATACGAAGATACACAAAAGATACTTCGTGGGGTAAGTGTGTGGGGTTAGTAAATGGGGCTGGATGGGGGTATGTAAATGATATGAAAGATGCGAGAGATACCGAAAACAACCGAAACTGCAATATGATATAATATACACAACACACAGCCACATATTTGTGTGCCAAAAATATCTCAAAATGGCAAGCGGAAGATCTGAGAACAAGCCCTTTCCGAGTTTTTGGAAAATTCGTGGTCTGCAGCACAAGAAAATTGTTACGGCAACCAAATAAATTGTAGTTGCAGGCCAGCAAGTAATTAGGAATATTTAAATATTATGGTGCACAGTGAAACAGATTACTTTTAGCCTTTTAAGTGCAAAAGTAGATTAAAGGCAATGCGAATGTTCAAATAAGCAGATGAAATAGATGTCAACATAGTTTTTTTCAAATTTTTTAATTAAAAAAACAACACCAACAATTTAAGCATCAATCAAAATGCAAAAGGCAAAAATTAAGTATTTTAAATGTGAAATGTTAATATAATGTTAATTTAATGTTAACATAATGTTAATTTAATAAAATGAAAATTAATGTTAACTTAATGTTAACTTAATGTTAACTTAATGTTAACTTAATTAATATGGCCACGTCAGCGACCATGATAATTAAATTTTTTTTTCGTTTTATTGCACCTATAATTCCCAAGTGGTTCTGGTTCATTTGTGGTGGGATACCAGTGGATTTTGGTCAAATTGGCCAGTTCTCCGGGATGACCGGCAGTTTCTCCGAGAAACTCTTTCCGGTCTGTGGAAGTGTGTGTGTGTGCCTGTGTGGTTCCAGAGTGCCGGAGAAAGTTCCTGGTGGTACTCTCCTACTGGAGGCCACTCCCGGATGCAGTGCATCATGACCTTGACTTGGAATGAGGTTTTGGATGCCAGATGCCTCCTTGCTTGGTGTGTGGATCAGGATGCAGTGCATCATCCCTTGTCTTGGCACTCCTGCTTGGAGTGGAGGATGCAGTGCATCATCCCATGACTTGGCACTTGCCCTGAACTTAAAGGTGCCCGATCCCTTCTTGCTCGGAGTGGATTCCAGGATGCAGTGCATCAAAACCAAAAGCAGTGAGTACATCCTTTTGTTTTTAAATTACGTGATGACGTGGCCGTTTGCAAATTTAGTAAAATAATGTTATTAAATATTTTTTTTTATTTTTTTCAGGTTTTTGGATGTGTATATGGCTGTTTGCAGAAAACAATTGGCAACTTGGAGATAGACATCAGGATTATTACGCAGTGAGTACATCAATTAGACAGTAAATAATTAAGTTATATATTTAAGATCAAAAATACGACTTAAGAAAAAGAAATCAAGAGCAACAGTAAAGAAATTCGAAAGGATAATTTTATCAAATAATGAACTTGAAATCCATCACAATTAATAACTTTAAACAAGTAGAGATTATATAAATATATATAAATATAGTTAGAATAGTTGTAAGAATGCGGTTACCGGAGATATATAGTACGCTGACACCACCAAAATGAACTGGAGAACAGGCTGCAAAATCAAGGATTAATGGCGAGATCATCTATTGAACTTCACTCCAGGATGCAGTGCGTCAACTCATTGGGGTATGTATTTTTGAAATTATTATTTATGTAAAATAATTTAACTAATATTTTGAAATCCTTCTTTACGTTGCAGGTGATTACTATGCCTTTCTAATTGGAGTGTACTTCAAGATGCAGTGAATCAATAACCCAAAGAGGTAAATACATTTTTTCTAACAATTTAATTGTAACTATTACTTTTTGTAACAAATTATTTATTTTATTTTTTGTTTTTTATTTAATTTCAGGGTAAAGTGTAGAGTGTAAATGTTGCGGATAAAGTGGTTGCAGTTATTATCTTACTTCAAGAAGACGAGAGGTTGCCGTGCAGATCAAGGATCCAACTGAGTAAGTACCAATGCCAAAATATAAGATAATATATGAAAAAACAATTACGAATTTTTCATTATTTTGTAACATATTTAAAACCTATAAAAGTAGTTTTTGGTAGCTAAAGATTTGTTTTGTGATTTCTGCTATACAAATAAATTAAGTAGATCATATTTGCATGCTTTATGAAATTTTTTAAAACAAAAACAAAAGGCAGAGTTCAGGTTTTAGGGGCTGGCGTTAAAATAATAAAAAAGGGATGGGAAAACGGTTCACATGCATGTCACAAAGAGCAAAGAGAAAATCTTGAAACTTGTCTGACATTACGTGAAGTTGACAACATGTCAAAAAACGAGAAAAGATATCCCCAAAAGAAGGGGGCGTGAAAGCCAGCAGGGAAGGTGGTGGGGAAGGTTGGGGTGAAAAACTACAAGAACTTGGCAAAAACCAAGTGACAACATTCATGTTGCCAACGCAAACAAACAGCAAGTGAAAAAGAAAAAACTGTTGGGGTAGAAAACCCTGAAGAAAGGGGTCTGCAGAGGAATGGGGGGAGGGGGTGAAATAAGGGAGGACATGTAGGTACCAACTACAATGCCCTTTTCCAAATCAGAAACCCCATAATATTTGAATAAAGTACAAGAGAGGAAATGCAAACAAAAAAGTTGTAAAAAATGCAAGCTAAGATAAAGCCAAATATGGTGGATAAAATATTCCACAAACCTGTCTCCATCTAAGGAAAGGTGAAAACGAGACAGAAGACCAGACACCCACATTGGGGGTCGCCCAAGCCCCCAAAAACCCCTTCTTAAAACCCCCTGCACAACGGCAAAACAAATAAGAAAAGAAAATCAGAAACTTTCTTCAACAATGCAACGGGGGAAATGCTTTTTATTTGCTTTATTAGGACATGAAAGGTGAGGGGATATAGACTAGTGATTCTTTACAATTTCTGGATTACAAATTATTACCTTTTATAATGAAAAATGTACAAATGGATTAAAAGTTGACTAGAAACTTAATTGATTCTGAATCTTTATATGTGTTACTAAAACGGTTAAGCCAACACTGTAAACTGATATGAAATATTTTTAAAAAATTACTTACACTTGTGTATTTTATATTGCATTTTGCTGCTCCACTTTATGTTTTCTTTTGAGTGGATCTACCCCACTTTGCTACCCTGTTTTCTTGAAGGACCGACACATACTGCTGGCAAAAAGTATTTTTCCGCAACAAACAAGCAAAAGTGACACCGAACAGCAGATTTCGACTTGTTCGTGCTTTTTTCGTTTATTTTTCACTTTATTTTTTTTTTATCAGTGGTGCACACACACACACCCGCATAAA